ATACAAAACTGATTGTCCAGCACCTCTTTTATTAAAAATGGTAACTAAATGCCAGAGACATTGACTTTAAGACAGTAGCAGAAGAAATGTTGAATAGCACTCATGCAATGCAATAAAAAAGCCATTTAGACATACATTATATACTAAACTGCAGCTCAGTCTAGTATTTTGATTAAAATTCAGCTTTCCCAAAAAATCTGCTTGATAAAAGCACTGTTTACACATTGTATATACAATGTTTATACACTGTTTTTATCAAGCAAATTTTTACTACAAGATTTTAAAAGACTACACGACAGGTCTAGAATACTTCATAAAGTAGAATAAGAATATTGTTTTGTATTTGCTTGTTTTTTATTTTTAAATAATCACAACCGGCCAAATTACGGTCATTAATACTACACTGGCTTTGCAGCAGATTTATGCCAGTGTAAGTGAAAGCAGAATTTCACCCTGTAACACTTCTGAGCAATACAGGCATCTGCAGAAATGAAGAAAAAAGGCACGTAAATGTGCACAAACACATTTTGTCCATTACAATCCACAAGTCTTACGTGGATGTGCATTTTGTGCCTTTGTTTTGCAATAAAGTACCCTGAGCATGCACGCAAAAACGATCTCCCCCACACAGCAATTTCCAGTCCTACCTCATATTCTTTTAAATCTGTCACTTTCGTGTTCCTAAATGCTGCTTCGGCAGAGGGGTTGCATTGTGAGGAAGGAAACTCTCGCCGCACTCCTGTTATCACGCTGCATGAAATTCTCACTGTACCCAAGAAACCTCCCAGCAAAATCCAAGTTTATCACGCCAAGGAAAGAACAATAAGTGGGAGTCCGAAAAGGCAGTCAGAACTGCCGCCAAAATCCAAGCTCTTTCTCAAAAAAGGCCCTCCCTTAGGAAGCCTGCCAGTCAAACCCGATCACGAGGCTGTTTTCAGAGAGTGAATAGAGTTCTTATTGACACAGCTTATGTCTGCAGCATGCAGCCCTCTGCAAGGCTTTCAAGAACAGATCGGATTACACAGACACATTCTCTCTGATTTTATGCATTCAGAAGCCCTCAGACATAAAATACTGAGCTCTGAAGGCCACTGGTTTTCTGGCTTGCTATCACCATACGTGCTTTTACAAACGGCACATGAGCAGACCCTGGCACCCTGACTTGGGCTCCCGAGGACCTCACCCTTACTGAGCAGGGCCATGTAATTTGGAGGCCAAGCCACAGATTTGCTCCAAGTGAGTAATACAAGACGACTCATCCCAGCGGTGGGTACTTAGCATCAGGATGGGAGAAAGGAAAAAAATAAATATCTGCTGACACCACTTAAAATGGGGGAAGATAACATCGCTCCGGGTAGACAATCCTTCCTGGAAGATGGCATGGAAAAATGGGAGGATACACACCTTTTAAGAGAGCACGCACTACCACAGCTTAGCAGGCAAAAAGGCACGCAGCTGCAGAAATGTCACAAGCACAGATTCAGGCAAACAATCTACCCAGGAGCAGCAATTTGCATGCCTACATGAGCCTAGAGAAAGCAAACTAAAAGGAACAGTTTATACCATTTCTACATTTAGTGGACACAATGAGGAAGTCTGTTCCAGGAGAAGACACACGTACAAAGTCTGGAGTACCCGTGATGCTGCATTAAAGGTGAGCAGAGAATTACAAAATGGTTTGGTATTATAAAGGCTCCGGCTCAAAGACTGCACTTCAGCAAAGAGAGACGCATCTGTGCTTAGAGCATATGCCAAAGTGGGACCTGAGCAGTGCCCTAGAGAAGGACACACGCTGCCCAGAGGTCTGAAATATACTGATTGAAAAGACAGTTGGAAAATAATCTAACAAGCAAAGCAGTGCATTACGTGAGTAAAACAGTTCCCTGTCACCTAAAAGGGAACAGTTCCTGCACTAACTCACCCACACAGAACTGAAACTTCTCACTGAAATGTTATATGTGGCAAACAGCAAATCAAGCAAGTTTGAGCTTCAGAGCTTTTAAGGGATTTTAAGAGCAAATACAAACTGTTCAGTAAAGAAAGACATCCTGTCCCTTCCAGGCCATGATCATCCTCCAGCCAAATGTCTCAAAAGATTTTTCTCACATTTTGTGCTTTGGGTCCAGCCAGGAGGCCGGACCTGGGTAACCCAGATGTGCAACGCTGTGTCTGAGATGGCAGATCTTTGGTTGGACATTTGGACTTGGTTTTCAGAGCACAGTTAAAGTGCCACAACTCTTATAACTACATCTGGAAGGTGAGACCTATGCAAACTCTGCTTTTCAGCACACAGCCTCCCTCTGAATGAGCAGCATCGTGTTTCTAGTACTCGGTTTCCACACGTGACTTCGAGTACACTCATGGTCAGAAAAGCCTGCTCCTATAAAGGCTGCAGATTCTTTCCCAACATGTCTGAGTCACACAATGGTTTGCTCCACTGCCAAAGCCAAGCTCCTACCACTGGTATGGCAAGGGTGTCCTGCTGCAGGCATCAGTAACCAAATTCTGACTGCAGATTCATAATCATCACCTGTGCCTGCATTATCCACACACACACACAAAAAAAAAAAAATCTTAATTTGCTTTCAGGCTCCTGACTAAGCTGCAGTCACCGGTGCCTAGGAAAGCCGTGGTTTGACTTGTTCATGAAGAAAGAGCCTTTTGCAAGACACCAGCCATGCAGTTTTGCCATCAGTTTAACTTTTATGCTCAGGCACAAGTCAGTGCCACTAACAAAAGCGGCAGTCTGGCCTCATCCTGTCCTGCTTGTACACCCCAGGTCCTTGTGCCAGCACAACTGTTTGTGTGGCCACGGGGAAAAACAAACCAGGGAAGCAGTGACTGTTACTGTTAGAGAGCGTCAGTTTCTTTGTTGTTACTCAGAAAGATTATTTTTAATCAGTAAGGATGGTAAAGGCACGAGAGCAAACAGCTGGAAGCAGAACCACTTTTTCCACTGCAGCACCAGCTTCAAAACTGATTTCCAAACTATACTGCAAGAGGTAAGAAAGCCAGAGCCCCCCAGTTTGGGGTCACAAGTTTAAGTCCCACTTCGGTGTTCCCTTAAACACACAGAACAAAACTTCTAGACCTGTAAAATGTAAGAAACACACTTAAGCCTCTTGCCAGACATTCTTCATCAAAGAAGGAGGCAGAGCAGGCCACTGTTGCTTATGAAGCAGAATTGTGCATGAAAACCACTAGAAAATCATCTATGTGGATGCCAAACTGGAGCATCAACACCCCAGCAACCCTGCTTTTCAGTAACCTCCCCATGGCAGCTAAGGGAAGAGGCCAGTCACCAGATGCACTTCCTCATCCTCCTTGGAGAGCCCTCACTCCCCCTTAGTGGGGAAGAGGATGTAGCACCCCAGCTCCTCCCGACTTGGCCAGACATTGCGGGAGGCTGAGCATCACAGCACTGAGGGGTTGATTTCCTCCCTAACCATCACAGCTGCTCTGGATCCCTGTGGGTCTATCACAAACCTCCTGGAAGACAGTACCAGACCCATTATATATATAGATGCACCCAGACTGACCAGGCACGTGTGTAAAACACAGCTGCTCTGGGAAGACTGGCTGCGTCTGAGAACAGACTGCACCTTCTCTTGCTCTAGGTGCATCCCATAATACCTAGAAGCTTCTGTACAGCCCATTGTCTTTCAAATAGAAACACTCAAATGCCAAAATAGCTCTCAAACTTTTCTGGGCCATCGCTACTTGGAAATGACTTAATTTAAATATGTACCGTGTCTATACACTCACACACACACACACCGAGGGAAATCAGCATTTGCAGGAGGGCTGGTGCCCACACATGGGAGCTCTGCACTCACACTCAGTTCGTGCCCAGGAGCTGCACAGCCCCGCAGCAAGGCAGGCCCTGTCCGACAGCCCCCCGAGCTCCCACCCGCTGGCAGGGAGTGCTGGAAAGCCCACGGCCCCGCAGGCTCCAGACCAGACCTCTTGGTAACACAAATCTTTTCGGGGTATAGAGTGGTGGGGGCAGGGAAGTTTTAAGACCAAATTACACAGCCCTTTAAATCCCCCTCAGTTGTGCGAACCGCACAAAGCTGAACCCATGAGCCCTTTCCTTCGGGAGTTTATTTCTTCTCCCTAGGGCTGAGATGTGAAATTCAGGCCCTCGTTTGTAAGTAAAGCTCCAAGGAGCAGGACTGTGCCACATAAGGTATTTCTCCAACCTGGAGAGCAGCACCGCTGCAGCCTCTACGCGCTACCTTAAAAGCAAAATACCCGCAAGGAGGACCCATAGGGGGAAAACATCTCTGCAACCCCACTGAAGCTGCTTATGGAAACTTTAACTGCATTACTTCTGCTACTGCATAATCCCAGCAGAACTTGCTTAATTCAGACTGCTCCAACTCAGACACTCGATAGTTTCAACATGGTATATAGACTATTACCTCGCTCTAATTACAGGATCACATTACATGTCCAACAACCACTGCAATTTAGTCTTGCTTGATACACCCCAGCTCAAAATTGCTCATCCCACCTCTCACTTCCATACTTTCTGGCATCCTTTGAATAAAGGCAGAAGCACCAAGCAGCACTTTAGTAATTGACACGCACACGCCCCAAGCCCCCCAAAGTCATTATTCCTTCGCAGTAACGAAGCTGACGACTTTCACCAGCGCAGAATAAACAAGCACCCAGTTTTAGGCAAATAGCACGGACACGGCACCGCTCAAACGCTTATCTATACAAACACATCCCCGGATTACCGCTCATAACCATCGCTGCACAGTACCACCGATTCACACGCTGCTCCCAAAACGCGGTACACACGGAGCCTCGATACACCCGGAGCCTCCGCAGCAGGATCAGGCCCTCGGAGTTTCACTACCTCCAAGGAGCGCCGCACGTTTCGCCTCTCAGCCCAAACCTGCACCCACTGCTCCTGCTGCCGCGGGAGGGGACGCTTTCGCTCCCTGCAACCGCCCGGCCGAGCCCGAACCGAACGCTCACAGGTCTCTTACTTTCTTCTCGCCTCGCCATCACCTCATGCTCCACGGGGGAATATTTTGCTCCCCGAGCAGACGAGCTGTCCGGCCATCGCTCCACAATGATTCAGCAAGGGGGTGGCTCCCGGTCGGAAGGCACACCTACCACGAACTGTCATACCACGGGGCTGGGTGAAAATGGGAGAAGTTGCTCTCTCTATCATGGCTGCACTTTCCGAAATGCGTAGAGACCTGGCCTGGCAGGGTCGAGGGGGGCAGGGGCAGGAGGGGGGGGGGAGAAAATCTATGCAGACACATGGAGATAACTCACGGAAATATCTAGAGCCTTTTAACCACGGCACAAGTAAATGACGAAGAAAACAATAATAATAATAATTAAAAAAAAAAGCCAGACACTTTCAGAGCCAGCATCAACTTCGCCAGGCTGTGTTCTTTGTTTCTAGGCAGACTCCAGTGCAGTGGCAAGAATGAACAAATGCGCATGCCTTAATAAGAGTCCAAAAAAAAAAAAAAAAAGAAAAAAAAAAAAGAAATTCCCCCTCCAAAGCCCCCGCTCGTTTCTGCAGCAGGAGGGGAGCCCAGCAAATACTTTGTGCTGCTTTTTCGGGACTAAAACTCTGCTTCAGCCCCTCGGGCCGAGGAGGCATTTCGCTACGCTGCGAGCGCGGAAAAACCGCCTGGCACGCTTCGGGCAGCCACGACGACTGCAGAACCCAGTCCGTGAGTTTGTTGGCCGGGCCGTTTTGGTGTTATTTCTCTATTTTTTGGGGTTTTTTAATAAAAGCACACACCCGAACGGCAGCAAGGCGACCTTTCGTGGGGGGTGAAAGGGGGGGGGGGCAGCGCCGAGCCGCGGCTCAGACAAAGACCCGGAGCGCCCCAACCCCCCCCCAACCCCCCGAACCGAGCCCGCACCCCCGGCCCCGCCGCTCCCCCCGGCGCCGCCTCCGCGCCCCCCTCCCCGTTCCGCGGGGGGCTCCCGAGCACCGCTGCGGGGCCTTACCTCGAGGTGTGGGGGGGGGGGTGGGGGAAGCAGCGGCGGCGCTAAGCGGGCAGGCAGCGGGCAGGCAGCGGGCGGCCGCTCCGTGCCACGCTGGGTGGCGGCGGCGCGGGGCGAGCCACGGGGGCCGGTTTAGCACGGGGGCCGGCTGCGCGCCGCCATTTTAACGCCTCCCTCCCTCCCTCCCTCCCCGCCCGCCCTCCCCGCGGCGGAGCGGCCACGCGCGGCGTGGAAATGTCACTCAGCGGCGCCCCCTCCCCGCGCTCCCCCTCCCTCCTCCATCACCACCGCCGCGGTTACATTGACGCAGCGGCTCCCGGTCGCCGTTGCCCGCCGCGGCGGAGCTAGCAGGGCGGCAGCAGCAGCAGCTGCAGCAGCAGCAGCCGCCGTCGTCGTCGTCGTCGCGGCCCCTCCGCCGCCGGGCGCACATGGTACGCTCCGAGGCCGCGCCGCGCCGCGCCCCGCCGGCCGTGCGCGCCGCCGCGCCGCCTGGCTGCTGCCATGGCAACCCGACGGCCGCCACGGCACCGCGCGGCCCCGCGCACCGGGGCAGCGCAGCCCCTCGGGTCCCCCCCCCCCAGCCCACGTCGCCTCCCTCCCTGTCCCGGGAGCCGTCCCCTCTGTCCCCGCAGACCCCAAAGCCGCGGGCTGTGTCACCCCGCTGCGCCCCTTCCCCCTCGCGGCGGTGGCTTTGGGGACAGCGGGGGCGCAGCGTGAGGGAGAGGAGGGGGCAAAGCCGTGCTGGAGCCCTGCATGCGCTGCGAGCTGCGGACCTGCGGCTCGTGTCCGGGTGGACGGCTTCAGGATGCTTCAAGGCAGACCCGTCTTTAAGATATCGCTGTCTGATTGCAAGCAGTTTCTGACTCTAGCATCTAATTCCCACGAATACTTACATTTTAATTATGCATTTGGTCGGGGCGAGCTGGAAACAACCAGCAACCAATGGATCACGTAAGAAAACTGAGTCAATCACCTATTTTTTCTTTTTTTTTCCTTTCTTTTTTATTTTTTTCTTTTTTCTTTCTTTTTTCTTTCTTTTTTCTTCTTTTCTTTTTTTTTTTTTTTGTTTTTTTTTTAAATCAGCATTATACGAGGTTCAACAATACATACAACATTTTGTCCAGCTCAACCAGGAGCTGAAAGAGGCAGACGAGGATCGCTTATCGCGTGCGGAACGGCCCTCCCTGAAAACAGCCCTGCTGGAAATGGCTGTAATAAAAACGCCGGCGTTGGCGGTCCGAGCAGCACACCGGGAGCCCTGCTTTCTGCACCCTGTTCTCACGACGACTTCCTCTGCGGCCAGGAGCAGATCACTTCTCTTAGTTACCACCATGCCAACTCATAGTTGAAATCAATTAGTTAATGTTTGCAAAGTCAGTTGAAGATGAAAAAGCATTACATACTGCTAATAAAACCGTAATGATCCCACTGTTAAACATTAAACACACAGTGATGTGTAAAAAAAGAAATCGCATTTATGCCTCTTGCTGCAAGGACAAAGGATTGGGTCCTAAAAAAGGAAGGACGATCTCAGGTTTGCATCACAGGACTGTGCCTCTGGGGTCTGGCTTCTGTTTATGTCTGCTGCTGGTTATCTGGGCAGCTGCGGGCAAATTGATGGAGCCAGCTTTTTCTGAAGCAGCCGGTGAGGTGGCCCACCTGAGAGAAAATGGCAGGGTAATCCATAGCTAGCCCAAAATCACCAGATGCTTTTGGAAAAAGCCCATCCTGAGCATTTTTGTGCTTTAGTTTCCCTGCCTGACAAATGGGGTGAAAATTGCCATGGCCTGCTCAGCCCAGAGCCGGGCCATTCCCAAGTCCAGGACGCAGGGACAACCCCGTGGGCAGCCAGTGCCATCCCCTCCCGGCCCCACTCACACAGCAACTGCTCCGACCTCTGTGCCCAGAGGAGCACGGTAGCACCAGCAGCTACACTTTTATTCACCTCAACTCCATCCAAGCAGTAGTAAAACAAATCCCTGCCAGATTTTTGCCAGCAAGAGACTACAGTGGGGAGCAAGCCCTGGCAGCACGGTCATTAAAAGCAGGGAGGGCTGAGCTGCTCACGGGACACATCACCCAGCAGTGTGAGGAATAAAAGCGGGCACGCAGGACTTTCTAGGAGATTTTTCTTGGCAATGAGTCTTGCCTTAGATGTAAAACCAGTAGCTGTGCTGCTGGTAGGGCTCCAGGTTGCAGTCTGTAGAGCAACGCATGTCTGATGTTCTGACCTACAGGCAAGAAGGAGGTGAGGAAAACCAGGAAAACCAAGCTTGCCTGTACCTTTGGGCCTGCACAGGGCCACATGCACATTGATGAGGCACCGGTGTTTCTGGCTGGGCAGAAGGATGGGTGGGGATTTGCACAACAGAAGCTCCAGGCAGTTTTAGATTTGGCACAGGGATCTCGGAGAGGGGAACTCCTCCCCAGAAAGAGCAGTCCTTTGACAAGGTATCCCTCATTTCCTTAATTGAACTGCCCTTTTGCAAGGAGCATCCCTGAGCTGCACCATCCCATTGCATCTTCCTCCCGAAATCTGATGCTACCCTGCTCTGATGGTGATCGGTTGTTGATTGCAGAAAAGCTGAATCATGAAACAGAGGTTATAAACAAGGTTATTTTTAACAAAGCAAATGAAGCTGGCATGCAGAAGTCGGAGCAAGGGACTGCCAGCTAGGGCTCGCAGGTCCCAGTCCTGCCCCAATACTCCCCATATCCTGAAGCAAATTACAGTCCCTCTAACCTTTAATTTACCTGCTTATAACAGGGACAAAGCAGCAGACTCCAGTTGTGCTTTCTTTGTACAACAAAGCTCCTGGTGTGACAGTGCAGCGGTGCTGGGAGCCATGCAACGCCAGGGGCTGGCTTTCGCTATCGCCCAGCACCTTGCAGAGCAATTTCCAGAAATGCAAAACAATCACACAGTCACATGGTGTTTCAACAATGTTCATAGACGTTTTGAATGCAGAGAGAGACTGCTCAGTCTGATTCCCCCCTCCCATATTTCACAGGCTCTTCTGTTTCATTTCCCACATGGAGCCCAGTGATTTGTGCTTCATTTTCCTCACTGAAAACTCAAAATATACAAGTTTTGTAGCCCAGAGTCTCATGTTACATCCTTCAGGCACCCGAGTGCTGTAGGGTGTTTGTTGTAGATACCAAGCCCAGGGGGAGGGAAGGCTGGTACACCTGCAGCTGACTGCGAGATTTCCTGATGATACCACTTCTTATCGCTCTCTCAAGAACTTACATTCTTCACAGAAAAAACATATTTCATTTTCACTGGGAAAGATGTATCAACTCAGGGAAGTGGGGGAATGTGGCTGGGACTGTGTTCAGCCCTCCACGCACTGCCCAAAGAATGTGAACAGCCCCACGTACAGGTTTTTGGGAACCTTCTGTACTCCAATGCACGCCCTGGTTAACAAGCACTTCGGGTGTCTCTCCACCTTTATGTAGATAACCAGTAAGGTTAAAGAACTCTAGCACTTTTGAAAATATTTTGTAAATAAATAAATAAACATTTTTAAAAATAAATAAACATATATGTATATGTTTATATATATATACTTTATATATCTATGTATACGTAGACACACATAAATTTATGAAAACTTTAGGTTTGAAACTTTTCTGCCACGCCTTATTGCAACCCTGCTGCGCCTCCTTGTTTCTGGAGGGTCTCACCTTTCTCTCTCAAATTTTCTTCCAGCTAAATATTGATTGCCACAAAGAAAAACAAAACCAAGGCAGTGGTGGATTAGATCCTGAGTGAGCTCTGTCCCTGTTGTCCATTCCCTGGTGCAAAACCCTGGCTCACCTTCACCTCCCTGCTGTGCAAGCAGACGTTAAGCCCCCTCCGCATGCCGGGGACACACGCCTGCACCTTGGCACAGGTTGGTGACGCCCATGCCGGGTACCTCCGGTGTGGCTGTGAGAGGTGGAACAGGACCAACCTTGCAAGCCAGTTCCCTCCTGCAGGTGCCTGCAAGGACATGTGGCTGCATGCCAGTGGATGGAATAACCATCGCCCCGCGCTAGTTATGGGGCAGGGATGCTGCAAGGCGGCTTTAATGAGTGCTTGAGACGCCTCTGTGATCTGTAGATGAAAGGTGATTTACAGCTGCAAATTATTGTTCTTCTTCATGTGAAGTCTATTATTTTCTGGTGTCCCTCATTTTGACTCACGCTGGAGCCCGTATTTGGAGCGGAGCAGGCTGAGAGGCAGGCTTCTCTCTGTGGGTGGCTGTGTAGTTGCTTTACGTCCCAGCTTCTTGCATGCCTTAGAAATGTGTGAGCTGCTCCGAGCATCCGTTTGAAGCAGCCTGGCAGTGCCCGTTCTTGGGGAACTTGGTCTGGGATTTGCACAAAACTGCAGCGCTCCAGCAGGTTGCTTTGCTGGTGGTTGTGGAGAGCCTGTACTGGAGACTGGATATGCAACTGGGTTGTGTACCCTGGGGACAAGCAGGGGACCATCTGGGTGCACCTTAAATCCTGCTGCAGGGAGGAGAGAAAGGAATATAATGGGGCTCCGTGCTTCTGGCTGCCCCAGGGAAGGGGAGGGGAGCAGAGAGGACCAGACAGCACCCACCCAGTCTACAGCTTCTCATTTGTGTCCCAAAACCTCCTGGGCAGCAATTACAGAGCAGGAGAGGTTCGTGTCTTTGGCATAAGTCTGGAGGGAAGGGACATCAATATGTTTTTGTGAGGGAGCAGGTAGATTTGTTGTCTTTCCTATTAAACTCACTCTGCACCACAGCACACTCATCCCATCAGGCTCGGGACAGTAAGAGTCCTTTTGCTGTTTACAACTAAAGAAAACAGTAGAAAATACCACGTGGAGCAAGGTGGTTGTAAGATGGAGGAAGAAATATCTCTGCTAGCCCACGCTGCACAGGGCTGCCCACCATACACGTGCAGGAGGGCAGGACCGGTGGCTGCAGGGGGATGTACCTGTCCCACCACAGGAGAAAAAAGCATCTGCAAACACTGTGACCAGGAGCGAGTCCAGCACGGAGCATGAGTTCACGCTGCTGCACTTGCTGTGCAGCCCTCCAGCTGGGAAGTAAATGACCGCTCACAGAGGCCAGCACAAGGAAATCAGAGATTTTCTCAATCAGAAGAGACCTTTCAGCCCCTTTAAATCCTGCCTCCTGTCCAGACCAATTTTCCCTTTCTTTCCCAGGGTCCATCTAAACAGCAGCAGCTTTTAAACCCCTGTAAGCGATGAGTTTCCCAGGTAGCCTGATGTACCAGTGAACGAGGACTGAAAGGAGCCTCCAGTCCCACCACAGCCCCTTCTCTACCGCCAGCAGCACCGACTCCACCAAACCTTCCCCAGCAGCTGTTTGCCTGAACAGTTAGCTGGTCCAGGGCTGTCATTACCCTCACCATTGACACAACAGTCACGCTCTAATTTCAACATTGGCTCGCTCCCAGCAAATCCATTTGGGTCCCATTTGGGGAGCGCCGCGAGCCTGTGCCCACAGCACAGCTGCCACCGGCAGCGGCTGCGCAGAAGGGCACCCGCAACATCACCCGTGCGGGCAGCTGGGCTCCCCGAAATGCAGGCTGCTGCTGGCTCCCGCCGGTCCCTAACATCCCCTTGGGGACCAGCCATGGCAACAGCCCTGCCTGCCTCCTGCAGAAGCACTGCCAGCATGCAGCAGGAGCAAATCTGTGTGCTGAGCAGAAACAAGGCTGTAGAGCTGTGCCCCGGTGACAAGAGATATACGCACAGAAGGAGAGTGTATTTCAAAAGCATTTGGGCCTCCAGTGCCAGGACCGAGAGGGATAATTAACACTGCAGTCATTCTCTGGGCCAGCCTCACCTTTACACCACTTGCACACCCAGGACTCCTCTGCATCCCCTGCTGAGGCGCCTGGTGCTTCGGGACGATGCTGCAACCTCTCCCCTGACACCATTCTCATGGCAGAGGGAATCCTCTGAGGTGCTGGAGAGCTACAACCAATTCTTGTTCTTGCTGTTAAAGGCTGCAAGACTAACAACAGTGTGAGTCAAACACTGCTATGGGAAGCATCTGGGAGGAAATTCATTGCAGCTCCCGTTCACTACCGTGATAAGCCCTAAGGAAAACAGGGAAAGAAAGTGTGTGTAGAAGATTCACCCTTACATCACCATAAAGTCCTGCTTGGTCTCCTTCCCTATCCCCTGGTCTTTAACATGCTCTTGTGTTGCATTTTCTTGCTGGAAAATGTTCTTCAGGAAAGGTTTTGTCCAGGGCAGAGAGACTCCACGTCCACCATTACCCTGCCCAGCACTCATAGGTGATGAAATCCATCTTTCTTGTGAGAGGGTCCTGCACCAAATTCCTGTATCGTTCTGTGACAATACTGACCAAGAGTAATATTGCAAAACTCCTTAAAATCTAATTCCACTCAGACAGGTGTTGTTTTAAGTGGTCACTGCTGAATATTTCTGGTCAAAAAAGTGGCAAGGCCAGTTTTC